AGGGGAAGAGTGAGGAGTCCTCCCCCTGAGGAGGAAGGAGCAGCAGAGACAGCATGTGATAAACCAACCTCAACCCCCATACCCCTGTGTCACTGAGGGGGAAGAGGTAGAGAAAATTGGGAGTAAAGTTAAGCCCAGAAGGAGGGGAGGGGTGGGCAGAAGGTCTTTTAAGATTTGGTTTCATTTCTCATTACTCTGATTTGATTGGCAATAAATTAAACTAATTTCCCCAAGTTGAGTCTGTTTTGCTGGTGATGGTAATTGGTGAGTGATCTCCCTGTCTTTATCTCAACCCACAAGCCTTTTCTTATAGTCTTTCTCCCCTGTCCAGCTGAGAAATAGAGTGATCGAGCACCTTTGGTGGGCACCTGGCACCCAGCCAGGGTCAACCCACCACACGGGAATAAGCCAATAAACTCCCTTTAAATCATTTATTTAGCAGACTTGCTTCTGAATATGTACAAGGAACAGATCTGCTAAATTAGGTGCTATTTTTTCCATATCTTCCTTATAAAGGCACAACAGCATTTCATTATGGCAATTTCCACCCTATAAAGAGACTGGCATGTCACCATGGCAATTCACAATGGTCCCACAGCAACTACTCCTATGCATTGTTTCAGTTACCTAACTGAAGTACCTATATTAGCAAAATAGTATTCTTAGGCTTTGTCTTTAGGCAATGGAGAGAGCGCGAGACCAGTCCTTGGAGCACTAAGAGAAATACTGGCTCTGAACTGCTCTCTGAAAGGGTCTGTTTTTTCACTGACTATGCAAGAAAACTAAGCTACTTACTTGCAGCTGCAAATAATTCCCATAGCGTAAAGTTTGATCATACAGCTTTGGTGTTCAGGCAAAACCAGCATTATTAAAACACATAAAGGCTCTCCACAGTGCACAGATGACTTCAGAAATGTTTTTCTGATTTATCTCACATTGGTAAGAAGGCAAGACACAGCCCTCTGCTATTGCAACTATCTATAGAGTTATGGAGCCAAGCCCTGTTTCCCTGTATCTTGGTACTGGAGCACATCCATCGGGAACAGCCCAGCACTGTCAGACTCTTGAGTTCAAATCTCATGGCCTAGGTCTTTAAACAGCAAGACACTGATCTGTTGACTGTGAGTGGGACCAAAGTCACACAAAACCCAATGAAGCCCATGACAGCAACCTAAGCTACCCCCTTGCCAATGCTGCCTAGGGGGGCAGACAAGAGAGAGACAGGCTGTCCTACCTTGATGGCTATAGCACACAGCTGAAAGGAGGCAGAACTGTGCTTCCAGACCAAGCTCCCTATAGCATGTACACTTTTTACATTAGGCCATAGCTACGTGACAACACTAACAGAACCATGCAAAGGACAAGAATGACAGCTCTTCTCAGCTGATCATCTGAAAGCCAAATTATGTCAAAGGTGTGCATTTTGCAGCAATTGCTTTAGTTAAAATGACCATAACATTGAGAAAAGGGAAATGCACAAACCATAATTTTCTTATTTAAAAGAAAACAAATATTTCACTGAAAATAAGAACTAGGCAGCAGAAAATGGCTGTTGAGCTCATCAATCAAGAGAAAGTAGAGTGACTTTTCCTTTTTAAAATATGGTTTTAATTGTGTTGCTAAGCAACAAGTAACCAATATGGTATTAACTCACAAGATGGAGTTTGAAGAGAATGAGATGAGGTTTGTACCTACATTTACCCCCCTCAAATGAGAGTTTTAGCTGTTTTGGGGAGATAGAAAAGATTACTTTGACATTAATTCATCTGTCACTACCCAGTGGACCATTTACTGGGGCTGGATATACAAAAAAAAAATTTAAAAATGGGTAGGGACAGATAAAAAATGGAAGTGTCCTGAAATTCTCAAACTACTGGGTAGACGATCCTTAGTATTGCCCTAAGTCATTGCAATATGCCTCAACATAAAAAAAAAAGGAAACCTGGCATCTCTTAAAGAAGAGAAGGTTAAACAAATTCAGGGTGCTGGTGATTAGCATCAAGAACTAAAAATGAGGAAATGCTCGTACATTATCCCTCATGCTATAGAGCATCCTGTTTGTACAGTGCCTTGCATACCTCTGTTGGTTTTGTGTTAGCATCCACCTGGGAGTGAGCCCATCTCAGGGTGGCTGGAAGAACGAGAAGGGGAAGTGAGACTGTCACAAGGTACTTGCTCCTTTGAGATGACACACAGCATGTAACCATCAGGCAGAGTTAACAGGGAGTGACAGTCCCTCGCTTTGGAAAATCTACTTCTAGTAATCAATGAATACAATTATCATAATAATAAAGAGACATCAGTAGTGCTGAACTGCAGCACACTCAGCTGCATCAGTTCTCATGGCAACTCTTCACCTGCTCTTGCACTCAAAAGCAGCAACAGTGTTTATTAGAGCTGTAAATTTGTTAATCAACATTATCATCAATGAAAATTAGCCGGCAGTGCCTTTACTGTTTGCAGTAATTGCCATGTTTTTCCATCTTGAAATCACTCCACAAGCTGTTGTTAATTAACCAGTCCTTTTGAAGTATGTAAATAACATCAACATTTTATAACAGAAGAGGTGAGGCAGGCTCAGCAGTTGATGTGTCAGGCAGCTTAGGTAACCAAGTTAGAAAGAGTCCAAGCATCCTAGTGTCATACCCAGATTACATCCCCTCTTTCAAAAATTCAAATCTTAATATCACTAGTTTTTGTAGCAGACTCTAAAGATCAAAAGAAGAAAAAAAAAAACCCAAACCACATAAACTAGAAAAGAACATTTTCCCTTTTAAAGTGGCTATGCAGTAACTGAAAGGCTACACAGACTGCTGCCTTTCCTGAGGAGCAGCTGCAGGCTTTGCCACAAGAACCTTTTGCTGGTGCCATTTGTGACAATGCAGTGTAAAGCAGAGGACCTAAGGCCAGATACCCGCTTTCACTTAAAAGAAATGCTTCACTTCCTCAAAATTCTGGCTTGAGGAAGTTTTCTTATGCTGACATCTCTGAAATGATACCATTGAAAACACTGACAAACAGCACGACTTTACCTCTGCCTAGGGTGGTCTCCCTGATGCCA